AGCAGGGACGGAAAAGGGTCATATGACAGCCGATGATTTATTGTTAGGAGATACGGCTGTGAATGGAGAATTTGGAAGAAGAAGAAATAGAACGGGAAGAGATGAGGTGGTTAGTTATGGGAGCGGGCCGGTGATTATTGGGGAGGAATTGGAGCCGGATGAAAAACTGGATAAATTACATGGGTTCTCGAGTTACAATGGAGAAAGAAGGAAGTCTCGACAACCGGGGGTTTATGGACAGGGATTTGGGGAGAGATTGGGAGAATTACCGGTTAGAAGTCGCACGAGGGTCACGGCTGATCCGAGGGATTTGGAATTAGAGAAGGATATGAAGGAGATGGAAGAGAGAAGAGCGGGGATCAGCGGAAATACGACAAATGCGACGAATTCGAGAATCAGAATTGTGCCCATTGGAGAAGAGGAAAACGATAAGAAAGATAAGCCTAGACGATCTCGAGTCGAAATCCAACCTCAGGAACAGGATGAAATTGTCGTATTCGAAGAACACGATAGTCCAGACGAACGCACAAATCGTAGATCTAGAGTCGGCGCTCGTGATCGTGCTAGAAGTACGGCGAGAACAATCGATACATGGGAGAGAAGTGAAGTAGGTGAAAGTACAATTTTCACACCCACGCCTAGAAATAGATCTCGAGGACGAAGCGGACTCGGAGAAAGAGAATTGAAGAGTCCGGGTGTAAGTGTTAGGGAAAGGGAGTTGAGCGTTCCTAGAAGTGTAGATAGTTGGGAGCGAAGCGATATTGAAAGTACGGTTTTGACCCAGAGAGAGAGGGAGAAAAGTAGGACGCCAAAATCAAGGGGGGCGAGGGCGAGAAGTACAGCTAGGACGATTGATACGTGGGAGAGGAGTGAGGTGGGAGCGAGTACGGTTATGAGTGGGGGAAGGACGCCAGGGACAAGAAGTGGGGTTAGTGCGAGGGCTAGGGAGAGGAGTAGAGTGGATAGAGAGAGGGAAAGAGAAAGAGAAAGGGTCGAAAAGGAAAGAGAGAGGGAGAGGGATAGTGGGTATGAAGGGGAAGGGGAAAGATGGCATGGGAGGGGATACAATTATGATGAGAGAAAACGCGGACATAGTCCCGTACCGAGTAGACTTGGAGAGAGTAGGAGAGATCGGCAGAGGTGGAGTGAAAGGGGGAGTGGGATGAGTACTGGGGCCAAGAGTCAAGGGTTATGAATGAGTTGAGAAAAGACCCGGAAGCACTATATACGAGACGAAAGGAAGGGAAAAATGGAGCGATGAAAAAAATCAGAAGATCAAAAAAGATATGATTTAACGATTGGGTGGTACTAGATTGGATACGTATTTGTTTTTTGTCTTTGTTTGGATTTTAGGAGTTTTGACTTTTGCTTTTATATTCCCCCACGCAGAAAATGAGTTGAAGATTAATGGTTTACGAAATTGCATGGGAGAATAGGGAAATCAAGATATGGAAATGACAAAGAGAAATTTTTCATACATGAAGATACGAAGATTTAAATATGATGGATGATGGATGATGGAATGATGTATGATGTATGATGCATGAGATAGTTGATTGGATAAGTGTTTGGATATGGATATACGTATGCGATGGGATTAGTAGATTAGATGAATCTTTACTCTTTGTGATTCGTTGTCTGTGTTTGAATGGTTGTTGTGTATTGTTTTTTTTTGAGGGGTTGTTGGGTTGGGTGGTTGTGAGACGCGATGAGATGAGATGGAAGAAGGGAGAAGGGAGATGATTTACAGACTGAGAGAAAATTACCATGTTGAGGTTTTTACGGAAAGTTCTTGTATACTATAAGGATTAACGTAACGTATGGGGAACTCGGACATATGGGGAACTCGGACAGGTACCTTTACACCAAATTTTGTATGTAAAGGTACTTAGAGCGACTTTTTATATCTCTATGGATATCAAAGATAATTTAATTTTTTTTGATAATTAGGCTTAATATCTAATAAAAATATAGTATTAAAGTTACAAAACACTTTTTAATAATATTGTTCTTGAATTAATACGATTCTAAAAATTCCCATAGTAATTTTTGTTAGGCAAAAACGAAAATTTGAAAGAAACTTTAATATCTTTATTAAAAAAAATTATATCTCTATAAAATTTTGTTATATTAAATATTTATATTGAATATATCATACTTCAAAATATCAAAACTATATCTCTAGTATTTCTAGAGATATAAAAAGTCGCTCTAAGTACCTTTACATACAAAATTTGGTGTAAAGGTACCTGTCCGAGTTCCCCATATGTCCGAGTTCCCCATACGTTACGTTATATGATTTCTGTATTAGATTTTATGGAGTTTTTTTGTGTATATATCTGGTATCTGGTATCTGGTTCCATTTGTTGTGTCAGTGTTGTGCAATTAATAAAATCTGTTGATGCTAGAGGAAGGAGAAGGGGCCGTTCCTTGGTAGATAAAGGGAGATGATGAGAATAGAGGGAGAGGGGGAACAGTACTCTAAAGAAAAGCTCAAAACTATGTGTGCGGCACATATTATATGATAGCTGGAACTTAAATGCTTGGTTGGAGGAGACGATGGGTTCGATTTATGTACTTCATGTTAGGTTGACTATCTGTATGTGATTCATTCGGTTGGTTTATGTGATTGAACAATATTGTGAGTTGATGTCTTTCTGATCTCGTGAAGGAAAGTGAAAGGGGAATATTCCATAGATAATCACCTGCTCTACTTTATATTGGCCATTTCTTTTGATTTCAAGTATCAGGAGATCATATGGATATACATTGGATTCTATTTTCCCAGGTAAGTTAGATAACAAAGCCCACGAGCTGGATATGGGATTAGGTCTTGGGATTTGATATTATCAATTTTGTATGCTCATGTGGTATTCGATCTATAGAAGGTTGTCTATATATCTTATCATCGGTCTACCTAGCTCTTTCTTAACTCTCGCTCATCTATTCACAATATATTTATTCTACAACGCAAGCAGAAAAAATCTATACCCAACCTTCCGTTGCTTGTTCTATTCCTTCTTCATCCTCTTCCCGGATTATGGGTGGGATACCATGTTCATGTTTTCCTTCTTGCATTCCATGATCACGTGGCTGTGCATGTACATGATTCGCATTTCCTCCATCCTCGCTCTTCCTCGCCACCCAGAAACTAGCCGAATAAGTATTTTGTAGCATGGAATCTGGATCTTGAATATAGGGCGCTCTTAAATCAGTCGAGGAAGTAAGGACCTCGAATCCCAATTTAGGAAGCAGAAGCAGTACTTCTGAGTTGGTAAGTTCGATGCTTCCAGGATCGGCAATACCATGATCTTGAATCTGATCGCTAGGTTGTTTTGATGATGGAGGGGTTGAGGAACCAGGAGGATTGTTTTCGAAATGCCAGAGGAGTGGTCCTATATTTATGAGTATACCGCCGGGTTTGAGACAGTTGCGAATAGCTTCAAGATAGCGGATGATATTTGGAGCTGTATCAAGGAAGAAGACAGCGGCTACTGCGTCGAAAGATTCGGCACGTTCTTCGTCGCCATACAAGAGGAGGAAATCGGAGGCACTCATGGTCATTTCTCCTGCTTGTGGGTTGGAATTTAACGCATCTCCTGGGTGGACATCTGGAATCTTGACGGATCGGAGATGATTGCTTCGAGTTTTGTGATTGGAGAAGGAATGAACCCAAGGGAAAATAGTATGATTTTCCTTTTGGGGACAGAAATTGAGTATGTAGGCGCTGGCAAGAAGTTGATGATAACTAATTTCATTGCCTTCAACGTCGAAGCCTTGCATACAAAGATCAAATACTAGACGCCCAAGACCTGCGCCTGGAACTAGGACGCGCATATTGCGTTTAAGAGGAGAGGATCTAGCTTTTTCGTCTTGGAGGGCGCGAATTACAGGGCGGTAGGATGCTTCGCGTTCGACTGCTCCTTCGGAGGACCAGTCTCGATACATTTGCCGAAGGGTACTTCGGGCTTTTTCAAGATCACCTGAGGTTGCTGTACCTCGGAAATCATCGGGAGATTTGGTGGAAGGGTTGAAGTTTGAAGAGGGATAGGGAAGATTGAAGGATGGGAGGGCCGCTGATAAGATCGCTTCTGAGAGTTCGGCATTTTGATCTATAGCGTCGTCGACGGCTATTAAGGTGTCTAGATAATTAATGGGTGGTGATGCGAGAAGTTCCCAGTGAGCTCGAGGTAAGGCGTAGAAAGCTTGTCTTCGTAGATGAGTGGTGTTGTAGTGAGCGGTCTTTTGGTAGTGGCTAGTGTGTATGTCAATAAGAGTACATGCATTTATGTGGTAATAAGGAGAGACATGTGTGTATATCAGTGAGCATGCATATGTTATATTCCCTCGGCTCCCGTGCTCACCGAACACGTACAGGTCCCCCCTAACATGACACAGATAGAACTCGCTTGATAGTCCCATGAATTAGGTGGTGTTACGATTCTAGCCGGATCTCCTCTTCTTATCGGACGCGAAGATGCCGTCACCAAATAAAACTATCCTTACTAGAAAGAATCCAAGGCTTGATGAAGAACTCTCTTCTCATCAGGATCATTTTGAGTTTCCTCATTGCCCTCCCAAGCATTATTAGAATCGGCCATATCGTATATTCAATCTCTTCATAAGCCTTAGATAATTGTTTCTATCAAGAGGATGAAGTTTAGAGATATTAAAGAATCAAGATCTTCATCAAGTGAATACAAGGAAGGTACGGTGTACAGTATTGTTCACTGCTTAGGTAGGCACATGGAAACTATTCAAGTTCCCGTTCCTCATGGTACAAGTGGGGGTGAAGCTTTCAAAGTGAACCTAAAATAAATAATTCGCTTATGCACGATAGTAGACCAATTTATGGTCGCGCCGGTGTTTGACTTTCTATCAATCTCCTCTAACCAGACAACCAAACAACCAAACATTGATACCAACATTAATTTTAAGCTGTTCATCTCGACAGCCTTGGAAGCCAGTTCAAAGCTTTCAGTCTCGGTATCTTCATCAAAATGGCAACTGCAGCCCCCAGACAATTGGGCATCACTCCGCCTTTATCTACCGCGCTCCCAACAGATGCTGAGAAGCAAGCAACTGATGCGCTGATCGAAGAAATGACAAAAGAGAATCTTTTTGAAAGCCGCGCTGATACCGAAAAAAGGTATGTAATTGCGATTATTATTTCTGGTTCTTACAAAATCCTCAGATCAATCATATCTCGGAACATCTTGCTTCATTCTTATCTATTTCATTACTGACATCCTTTTCGCGCAGATCCGCCGTCCTTGCTTCTTTACAATCCATCACCGAAGAGTTTGTGAAACGTGTTTGCAGAAAGCAAAACCTACCGGAGAATATCGTCAATAGTGCCGGCGGCAGAATCTTTACATATGGCAGTTTTCGACTTGGTGTATATGGACCTGGCTCTGATATCGATACTCTGGTCGTCGTACCAAAAAACGTTTCCCGCGAAGAATATTTCGAACTTTTTCCAGATCTTCTCGTTGAAATGGCGCCAGAGGGAGCTATTGAAGACCTAACGCCTGTTCCAGAAGCCTTCGTCCCAATTATTAAGTTTGAATATTCAGGCATCAGCATCGATTTGATCTTTGCGCGCATCGAAGTACTTTCTCAAATTTCAAGGTCCCTAAGCTTGAACGATGACAACTTATTAGCCGGCTTGGATGAAGCTGGTTTACGCTCTCTAAATGGAACGCGAGTTACCGATGATATTTTGAATTTGGTACCGGAAAAGGCAGTATTTAGAACTGCTCTGAGGGGAGTTAAACTTTGGGCGCAGAGACGAGCTATCTATGCCAACATTATGGGTTTTCCTGGAGGTGTCGCCTGGGCTATGCTGGTGGCTAGAGTATGTCAATTATATCCACAAGCAACTGCTTCTACAGTCATCCTCAAATTTTTCCGTATCATGTCTCAGTGGCAGTGGCCGCAACCAGTCTTACTGCAGGCAATTAAAGGTGGTAAGCTTAATGTTCGTGTCTGGAACCCTAGAGTAAGTTTTTCTCCTGCAACATACTCGGGTTTAATTGACTTTAATAGGTTTATAAAGGCGACGGTTACCATCTCATGCCAATTATTACTCCTTCATACCCCTCCATGTGCGCTACTCACAATATAACAAAATCAACCAAAGAGATCATCTGCCGGGAACTTGCTCGCGGAGGAAATATCACGGATAGAATTATGATGGGCAAGGCATCTTGGAAAGACTTATTCGTCAAACACACATTTTTCACCAAAAACTACAAATACTACCTCTCCGTCATTTCCGCCAGTACTACAAAGGAGGCTCAACTTATATGGGCTGGTTTGGTTGAATCAAAAGTTAGACTTTTAGTTGCTAACGTAGAAAACCACGAATCAATTGCGCTGGCACATCCATTCAACAAGGGATTCGAACGAGTTCACAAATGCAGTTCCGAGGACGAGATCGAATCGGTAAAAGAGGGCAATCTACAATACCAGATCAAAGAAATCCCAGCTGTGACTACGGACCCATCCCATGATACAGATTTAGGAATTGCGGTAAAGGACCAGACTGGGGAAGTCAGGGATCAGAATGGAGATGCACCAAAATCCGAACCTGAGAAAAAGGAATCATTGGTTTACACAACAACACATTATATCGGCCTCGAGCTTCGCGAAGGTAAGTGCACCACCATCACCCTCACATTTATGAGCGATCTTACTATTATCACGATCATGGTATTTGGAATATGCATTCTAATTACAAGCTTAAATGATATATTCCGAGGCCCAGCTACTAACAATCTTAGGCGCTAAATCGCTCGACCTTGCATGGTGTGTTGATGAGTTCAAGCGAGTGTGTAGAGGTTGGGAGAAGTATAACGAAGAGCTTAATACTTTATCTGTCGTTAACACTCGAAAGTCTGTGCCCCTTTTTTGAATTATATAATGAGAAATGCTGATTTATGATCCATAGCTGCGACCTTCCAGACGACGTCTTTACTGAAGGCGAGGTCAAGCCAACTCGTTCTCAAAAGAAAAAGAAGCGTTCTTCAGCAGATGTATGTTAAAGCCAATCCCTCGTTCGGGATATGGCCCAAGGTTAAAGGCGGAAGATCTCGTTTCGATTGGGATTTTTCTCAGATGAATTCCAAGCATTACTAACACTTCATTTAGGACGTTGAGAATGCATCCACAAAGAGACGGCAGGTAGTTGCTGCTGGATAATGATTCAGTGCGGAACCATATCCTCTCTTACTCTACTATCATTGATGGTATCTAACGACAGGCTTGCTCTACATTAGCTTTCGATCATTGCGATCGTATAATCAGATTTCAAAAGAAGAAAAAAAAACACACGGAAAAACGACCAACTTAATAACTTACTGACCTGAGGCAGTTCGCAACAACACATTCATTCATTCATTCAATCACAATCATTTCATTAAGTAAATCTCTAAGTATCACCTACTTCCTTGATATTCCTTCGGGGTAAAGCCGTAATAATGAAAATTCACATTCAGGCCTGGGTACAGTGTTGAGGCAAATTGAAAGGGCAGATCTTCCTGAAAATAATCCGGCACCGGCGTTCTTAGAGGCTATTGCTTCACTTTATTATTGAGGGTTGAGGGAAAGGGGGGAGTTTGTCAAGTGAAAATGACACGGCAGCAAGCATTGGTTGAAAGATGTAGCGGGAACTAGTCTGGGTCATTCTCAAATGACATGACTACATAGATGACTATGTATTTTAAGAAATCAATACAATTCCGATTCCGAGACTACGTGTCTCACACCAAGACGATCGATTCTAGATTTGATGGTGTTTTTGTTTCTATGGTGTTGATTCCAATGGAATGTTTATTAGTATCTAGTATGTACCTAGCTAGTGCTTTCTGGATCCAATTGTGATGGTTGCAAGAGAGAAAGTTTCACATTTATTTGTTTATTCTGTGTATACTCGGTATCTACTCGGCATCTACACCGTACGTAATAGTGAATAGTAAATAATATATAGTATGTGGATGTATTTACCTATATATCACTTCATTATCATTATTACGCACCTTTGTGCCGTGGTAGTAAATTTACCTAACAAATCTTAAAATCTTGTTAACCTTATTGTAGGGCTGGGCTGGACAGGGTGCACCGCCTTTCCAAAAAGTGACGTAGGATGGATGTAATTCCTGTGAGATCCATGGATGCCCAAGGAGCCAAGTGCCTAGGTAGGTAAGCAGGTAAAGCTAGGACAATGATAGTAAGGACCCTCGAGGTACGTGGGTAGAGAGGTAGAGAGGTAGCGAGGTCCCGAGTAGATAACCAAGTATGAAAATATTGAGGAATTCCCAAATTCCCATATTCCCATATTCCCATCTTGATGGCTCTTGGCCTATCATTCGACACTGGTACCTTTTCTTCCCAAACTTTATAATTCCGAGTTCATCAATGTTTAATTATTCACTCACACAATGAAAAACAATTGACCAGAATCTCAGCCCTTACTTTTCATCATAACCCCAGTAAGTATTGTCAGATCACAACATAAATAATAAGCAGGCTTGGGTTTGCCATTTATTATTAGCTTGTTCCTTTTAACACCCACCCAACTAGATAAAAGGACTGGAACGTCTCCACAGCACTCAACATCATTCAGGCTGACAGCCTCGCACATTTATCGTGGCTCCTCCTTCATTTCGTCGAGCAGGTAATCCTCATCGTAGGACATCACTTTTCCGATACCTATTCCCACATTCTCGGCAGACTATCCGCCAGCGCTTTGCAAATTTCAGATTCGAAACATTCCCATCCTACAAACTTGGCGCACAATCACGAATCTATAATTACATAGTTAGGACTCAGCTAAACCGAAAGAGAAAGAGAGCCGCTGGAAAAACTGCCTTTCAAATCCTTGGAAGACCAGTGAGAAGATTCTTCGGTGGCGGTTCTAAAGACAATGCGACGGCTTCTCAAAAGCTGAACCCATCATCTAATTCGATGTCTGGCTATGTCGCAGATGGATATGGGGAGGATAAAAAACGAGGGGGAAAGAGGGGGAAATTGGCTGGGTATTTGAAAGCCGCAAACGAACTTCGTCAATCGTATCAACAATCATACTCTGAGAAATGGGGCGGGGGTAGTGGACTAGATGATGATGAACATGGAATACCAGGTTCATTTCCGGATGTATCTATTGTTTCTCACGGCGATGAGCAAATGATATTATTTCCATCATATGCGCGGAGACATACCAAGGAGAAACCATTTTTTGAAAATGCCAACATGAATCCTAAATTGAACGAACCCGGAGATGCGGAATATTGGTCGAGGGAATGGCAAAAATATGAGGATGATAGGGCTATAGTTGATGTGGATGTTAGAGGATGGCTTTACTCTCCTCATAGAGGACCTATGACAAGAAAGAACAGGTTGCTCATTGGTCTTGCACGCCAGTTGAGTGGGATACCTGCACCAAAATCTGGTTCTCGAGAGACCAGTCCGGATTCAAATTCATTAAGAGCAAAACATAGAGAACTCGAACAGAGGCGTGATGAGGAGAAGATTGCTCGAGAAGCAGAACAAATATTGAAAAAGGGTCGAGGGGAGGAGGAGGCAGCACTACGGGGTGACTATAGTGAAAAGCCAAAACGGGAATCGGATGGTGATAGTATCTATAGTGAACGCGGTAGGCAGCGGGGTGGTAGTTCACGCGTATCACCAGAGTCATCACCTGCTCCAAGTCGTCTAACAAAACGTGCATCATGGAATCAACCATCCGAGATGACCCAAGCGGAACTATTAACAGCAAATGCACATTTGATGGCACGATTAAGACCATTCCTTACGAATCCAAAGGTTGAAACAGCGATTACAGTTTTCTTCTACGATGAAAAGAATTCTTCATCGCGAACCATAGAAACAAACGAAGCAGGCCATTTCATCATGCGAGCCGCTTTAGAATTTGTTCCCACACATGTTAGAGTGCTTGCTTCAGAAAACCTTTCAGCGATTGAAGAAGTCAAAATTACTGAACCAAAAGGAGTCAGCCTTATTACTGATGTTGATGATACAATCAAGCACTCTTCAATTGGTGCAGGATCAAGAGAGATTTTCCGAAATGTCTTCATTCGTGAATTTGCTGATCTCACAATCGAAGGTGTCAGGGAATGGTATAATACAATGTATGATATGGGTGTTGGGGTACACTATGTATCCAATTCACCTTGGCAATTGTTTCCAGTCTTAGTGAGCTTTTTCAGAAAAGCAGGGCTACCACCTGGATCTTATCACCTAAAGCAATACAGCGGAATGCTTCAGGGTATTTTTGAACCTGTTGCGGAAAGAAAGAAGGGTACCCTTGAGAAGATCATGCGAGATTTTTCAGAAAGGAAATTCATTTTGATTGGAGATAGTGGAGAAGCAGATTTAGAAGTCTATACCGATGTCGTTTTAGCAAATCCGGGGAAAATCCTGGGTATCTTTATCAGAGATGTCACAACACCTGAAGATATAGGTTTCTTTGATCCTGCATTGGGCCCACTCAGTGGAGACCGTCGAAGGTTTGAACCTCAATCTCGAACGCAATCTCGGACGCAATCCATTGATAGCAGGAGGTCATCTACATTTAGTAAATCTGAGCTATCAGAGAAACGACCATCTTTGCCTCCCAGAGTTCCCTCGGAAACTAAACTCCAGACCAGTAATGGCCCAACCATGGGAACACTTATTGATTTCGGAGATGAGCCTGAAAATGAGCCAATACATAAATCTCATAGGCAAGTGATGCCTCGATCTATGTCAGAGATGGGAGTACCAAATGTTCCACGACGAAAATCCGCCAATGATGGGAAAGCTCCTCCACCTCGACCTTCTAAGCCATTATCCCTTCGTGGAGCAAGTACAATCACAATGGTTCCACCCGAATCATCCGAACTCCCAAAGCAAAACACTCCACCACCACCACCCAAACCTCGTCGTTCAGGTGCTATACATGGAAGTGTAAATAATCATCCATTGAAGCAGGCACAAAGTAGTGCAGAGTTATCAGAATCGTCGAGTGAAGGTTACATATCTAGTGCTCGTCATAAAGTTGCAGAGACCTATAACAATCTTCCAGAAATGAGATCTTATCTACCAAGCATGGGTGAATCGAATCCGAGGCCCCAATCTACATTCGACCCATCATACAGTCCATCATCCAACAATGGACCACCGCCTCTCCCACGTCGAAAATCTACCATTAATTCTTCAATCTCCAGCTCCCCTGACTCATCAGACGATGAATTTCACCGAACATCCAATGGAGCACCAGCAAACAAAAAATTCGATCTCTGGAGACGTCGTTGGAAACGCGCAAAAGATATTCTTGATGGACAAGGTGTGGAACTTAGAGCTTGGAGGAACGGTGGTGATGTGTGTATAGAGGCTGTACATATGGTTGAACAAGCTATGCGGGAGATGGGGGTAGAAGGATATGGAAATGGGAAGGGAAAGACTGGGAGAGGAGGTGGAGAGATTAAGGTTAAGGATTTGAAGAGGTAGGGGTTTGTGGGAATAAGGAAACAAATGAGCGAGTTGGTTGGTTGGTTGGGAAGCAGAGCGTTGAATTATATCATATTATATTTTTGGGGGTTTTGGATGGGTGGATGGGTGAATGATTGTACGCATGTATGCATGGAATGGCGAACACAGTTTTAAGAGGAGCAAAGAGGATAGATATGGGGGAGTGGCGGTCGGAAAGTGGGAAAGAAATATATCAAGAACTATGATTTATAAGCGGGAAAAGAATAATGAATATCAAGATTCAAATTTTTTACTTGCGTAGAATTAAATACAATTCTGTTATTCGGTGAGGATATATATGCATATACTCGGACAAATAAACAAACAATAGATCTAGACTCGATTCAAAGGGAAGTGGCGAGCCAAGATAGGTAGGTAAATGGGTGTTCGCTTCTTTTGATCGGGAAAAGGTTTCTCAAGGTGGTGGTGGGTGATCCCGCTTGTCTGGTGGCTTTTTGGGGGCTGGGAGCTGAGCTCTCTCTGTTGAGTCATGATGTGGTTGCTTTTTTCTCGACTTCTTTTGAACGGAATCATGGACTAATAGACTAACTACAAACTCTCAACAATCCATTCGAACCTGGCAAAGTAATCTCGACGAATCTATCATCCGCAAATCTAGACGGTGCATTTGGATCGCAAGATTCGAATCCGAAAACTTCTTCTTGATTGTTAGGCTGGGAAGTGTATTAGTACTCTTGTGCAGTAGGTATGACACGATTTGTATGTGATTTCTCACACTAATATTTCCATTTTCATCACACGTATCATCTACAGCGGTTTGTGTGGGAATAAGAGGATGTGTGATTATATATGAGCTTTTAGCTCCCGTGTGGCTGCGTGGTGAGTGTGGCGTTGGGAGACGCAGGGAGTGCATGGGGTGGAAGGTTACTGGATTGTGGGGGTTTGATGGGTGAAGAGGGTTTGGGGTTTGAAGTTTGGGGGGTTGTGTTGTGCTGGGGTGGTTTGATGGGATGGGAGATAAAAAAGAGAGATGGCGTCAATGTCTGTACTGAGCGGATTGTGGCTGGAGGTATGTTGTTTTTGCTTTTCACTTCCTTCTCGCCAGAACACGGTGGTTACGTGTGATTATCGTTTGTGTTGCAGTTCTTATATATATATTTCCATTATTCACAACTCCATCACTTCCAAACTTCCAAACTTTCCCACAAGACTAAATCCTAATCCTAAATTTTGATCATCCTCTGCTCATGAGCACCACGGGGGTTATCGACCAGATTACTTTGTCTGTCTCTCTCAGCCGCTTTCCAATCATTTGCATAATCCCTCCTCTCCTGCCATTCTTCTTCTGTTTTAATCTTTGCCTTTTCTCGATTCATTACTCTTCGATATCGTAGGTCCCCTTCTTTTTTTTCTTCACTACGTTTCGCTAGGCTTTTTGTTTGTACAATAACATCTTTTGCTTACACGCTACCTGCTCGCTCTCACTCATCGATGCGATTGGCTTATATCGTCTTCTTCGAATTTCAATTGCTACGCTCAGCGATTAATCACTTTGATTGAATATTATTGGCAGCAGGAAGTACCTTTGTTTCTGATAATACCACCTTTGTCGTTACTGCGTACAGTGTCTTTCGAATTACCGGAGTAAAAGTTCACTGCCTGGGAGCTGGTGAATTGGGTTCATCTAGTGGGATTGGAAGAGATGGAAATCAACTCACAGTTATTGTGAAGAAGTTCTCGAGGCCCTTCTTCACCTTCGTTCTCCTTGGTTTGAAGATAGGCCATGGCTGCCACTAGATTGGTTATAGTTCAATTACTATACAAAATCTCTGTCCTGTGTATGTGTAAACTCGATAACATGTTCCTAGTAGTGAACTTGAAGAGGGAAAAAAAGAAGTTGAAAGTGAAAGTGAGGATCGTGAGATTTTGCTAGTTGTTATAGGAAATGCTTGACGCTTCGCGTGCTTTTCTTCGTTCTTTCCAAATGTCAACTCAACTTACATAACATATCCCTGTGAGCTGGGGGGGTTTTGAAACTCCCAAATTGTAGTGAGGATGTTTTCGTGTCGATGATGAGTTCACGGGTACTTGTAGTTCACCTAACACGCATACGAGAATCTGATTTTTGTTCTGAAATGTATCTTATTATTGTAACCCTAATTCTGACGTCTATTGAGGAATAGGAAGTGAAAAGAAAGGAAAATGAAACCATCTATATAGTAAGTTGGTAGAAGAGGAAGGGATGACTTAGCTGTAGGATCATACTTATGCCAGTTCTCCATGATCACATAACTATGAGTTGTTAAGTATGAGAGAGTGCGAAGAAGGAGAGGGAATGATGGGCTTGCATACTGGTGCAACATTTGGACAAATATCCTGATATGCGTGAGTCCTACAACTCACTCAGATGAGAGAAGTGACCCATCTGAATATCTCTTGCAACATAATGCGTCTTTGTATATTAAGGAGGATAGGATAGATATGCCTAAATAATTAGCTTAAAGGGGAGGAATGACTTACTTGATTTAATCTGCATCGGAGACAAAGTTGCGATTCAGATTGCTCGTAGACTAGAATACAAAGGTGGTATGACTACATGCTCAATTAGCGACAGAGGGAGGGGAAGTGACGTACCTGAAATTTTATCTTCTAATTGCGCAGTGTGGTGTGTATTAGTGTTGAATAAGCGAAAAGAATAATGATGCTACCTATATCTCTAATTAGCGAGTGGGAGGAAGAGAAGTGATTTGCCTGTGTCGGTTTGTTCTAGGAATAGAAAGAAAAGAAATAAAAAATTTATATACTTGATTAGCGAAAACAGGAAAGAGAATGACTTACCTGATTTTCATCTCTTACAACTATGCGACTGTGTATGACTGAATTGTATATCTGAGAGGATGACGCTATCTGCATCTCTAAGTTCGATTAGCAAAACGGGGAAAAGGAGCGACTTACATGTATTTTATTCTGTATTAGGATTGAAAGAATGGAAATAGTAATGATATTCCTATACATAATTAGCAAGAGAGGGAGGGAGTGACTTACTTACATCTTTAGGTCTTGGGAATAGATGAAGAGAGCGAAAATACCCAGACTCAATTAGCGAATAGTGGGAGGGGAATGACTTACCTGAGTTGTTATTTCTGATGTGTATCAGCATCTGACGGATAAGATACTAACGATAGCTATGTACAAAATTAGCAAAACCGGGGGGAGTGACTTACCTAGATCTTTGTATCCTAGAATATGAGGGTGAAAATACCCATACACAATTAGCGAACAACAGGAGAGGAATGACTTACCTAAAACTGTGATATCATTATCAGATAGGTGAATGATTAAAAGTAATGCTTATATAAGACAGCGAAAGCGGGGAGAAAGGGAGACATACCTAGTCTTTCGAAAGAATAATAAAAAACAAGGTTAAAAAATAATACCCACTGTATACACGATTAGCAAAAAGGGGAATGGGAAGAGGACTTACATGTATATACAAAAACGAGAACGAAAGGAAAGAGAAAAGACATACCTACAAAACGATTAGCAGAAACAGGGGACGGGGATAAATCTTACATACGTATTATATGTATACATTTGGGGAGATGATTTTTTTTGGTTTCTCTCATTCATCTATTTCCAAGAAAAAAGAACGAAAAGAAAAAGAAAGAAAGAAAGAGGTATTTAAAATAGTGTGATCTCGCACACCACCCCAAAAATCAAATCAACACTCACCACTCAACACTTAATCTTCTCAAAAAGAAAAGAAGAAAAAAGACTCACCTCCTCTCCTCTGCTCACCAACTCCACACCCACCTCCTCGTACAAAGCCATCCTAGCACCGCACCCCCCAGCACCGCATACCAAGCCGGCCACTCAAATCTGCTCTTCCTCGGCGGTTGCACACCATGCTGCTCATGAAACGAAATGTATCTCGACGGAGGCGTTTGGGTCCAGCGCGAGCTGTGCGTGCGGGTTTTTGTAGTTTGGGTGCCGATGGTGCGGGTTGTGGGGATGGGGACGGGGGTTTCTTTTCTGGAGATGGGGTTGGATTTCGATTTTTTGGATCTTTTCGAGGAGAGAGAGAGGGAGCGGAAGGGGGGGATGTGGAAGGGCATTTTTATGCGGGAGGGGGTTGTGGTTGTTGAGGGGATTTGCTAGGAGAGCTGTGCTTTGAGGGAATGAAGATTGGGAGGGAGATGGGAGGCTTTATATCTTGTGAACAAGGAAATCGAGGTTCTTTGTAGGAATTGTTCACCATCTGTTTTGTGAAAGGAAAGATACAATGGGACTACTTCTTCAAAAGAATTCAAAAAAGTACTCTAGAACAATGCCCTAGTATATTCTCACCACAAAGAATCTTGGAACATACAAAGAAACCAGGAAGAAACAATGCTCAGCACCCAGAGAATTCTCCCTCCAAACAAATTCCCCCAACAAAGGAAAAAGAAGAGCAGCTACCAAACAACCCGGACAAAGAAAATGTACCTTCTAGAAGAAATTCAAAACAATGCTATTATCAAACTACAAAGACGATTCCAATTCCAGAATCGAATAGGAGAGAGATACAGTAGACCGAACCATCCAACATCCACACCCAGTCGACAATTACCATCTGCAATCAGATACAGATCACCGAACCCCAAACAACCAGCCCCGAAACCCCCGCAACCATGCCAAAGTTTCTCGACCCCCTTCTCCCGCAACCGCGCACCACCATGCAGGGGAAAATCAACATCCCCTCCCCAAGCGACTCTCTCCGCGAGTTTTCCGCTACATCCCTCGGTCTACTCACTCAGCTCTTAACCCGACTCCCCGGTACTCTCCCCACCGACTCCTGGCTCCGCGACCAAGCAATCCTCATACAAGCCTTCCCCCCTTCTCTCCTACACCCCAAATCCAGCGGCCTAATCTCCCGCGTCGCCGCATCCCTGTCTTCGCTTCGTCTAGGCGAAACCAAAGCCGTGCTATGCGACGTCCACAAACCTCTAAACCCGTATCTCATCCGCAAGATATTTTTAGAACTAACCGCAGAATGCACCACTCGTCTCCGACGACTAACTGCTGAGATCCCTCTCGAACAATTACCGGTCAACGTTCAAGAATTCGTTCTTCGAATGAAAATGCTCAATAGTATCTGGATGCAGCCCGAATTTTATCGTCAAGCATATCAAGTGCAGCCGTCCGACCCGCGCTACGAAAGCGTAGCATCGGGTTGTGAAGCCTGTATTCTCGCCACCATCGGAGGCGATCGATCCATCATCCGCGATCTCTTCGCTTCGATCTGGGGCCGCAGAAAGAAGAATAAGCAAATGGATGGCTGGATCGATGTAGTCCGCGCATGGGCATCATGGCAAGGAGATTCCGAAGGCTTAACGCATGAGTCTCAAGGTCTGGGAAGAGAGATCTCACGATGTCGCAAACATCTTCAGATACTTCGAAGAGATGCTCGACGAGAACGGCTGGCTGGAAATCATAACCCTTTCGATAGAGATAGCGAGGCCCAAACACTTCTCGGACGCGATTTTCTTGAAGAAGATAAAGATGAAGATGGAGATATTGAGAATGAAATTATAGATTTCTATGCAAATATGATGTCGAGAACATCTCTCGCAAACACATCAAGTCATGATTCACATCCGGCAGAAGGAGTCCATGCCGCTTTCCGCGACACGGTGGTCTTCACCGACGGCTTCTTTCACAACGCTTCCAGACCTATCAAGGAAAGAAGTCCAACGCTCTATTCTCGCAGCGAATACAACTCTTCTCAACTTTCCTACTCCAGAGTCGAAGCCGAAGAGCGCGCCAGCGCCTATCGACAACTCGTCGGAACCCCAGAGAATGCCGCCGCCGAATCCGAATCCGAAGAAGACGAACCTCGTTTCACAAATCCATTTGCAGATCCACCAGCAAGAAACAATCGACCTGCATATCGCGGAAGCCATTATGAGAATCCACGAGCATCACCTTCGCCTCCTTCTCCTCGTACTACGAGACATGAAAACGAGAATAGACCCAAACAAAAGCACGCACCGCATCATCGACGTCCTGACCCTCAAGTTAATCCTTTCACACGAAAATCACATGTTGCTCGCCTTGAAGGTAAACGCAGTGATCGGGAAACTCGACTTAGTGATTTCATGATTTAGAGCGAAGAGAGTAGAGAGTAGAGATATTTTGAGGATGAAACAAGAGAGGAGTGATCTCCTATAAACACATTTCCTTACATGCCCTGCCTATGACCTTATTTAAAGTGATAACCGATCCTAATCCATGCTTCCCCTGGCGTCCTTTGCAATTGTGAAATTTTAATCATTTCAATGCCTTGATCTATTCTTTCTCCTCATAAAGCTTTAATAACGCCGGTCTAAATGCCGCTATTTTCGAAAAATCAGATATTTTAACCCTCATATAATCAAATGCAACAATGGCAACTTGATCTGTAACTTCACTGTCCATAACTGGTATCTTTTGATATCTCTGAGAAAAGTGAGTGAGTAAAATACGTCTTGCTCCCATACCCTTGCCAATATTCATTGCTTCCGAAGTTGTGGAATGTTTCTTGGCAATAGCATCACCTTGAAGTTCGTCATCAAATGTAGCCTCGTGAATCAACAACGTTGCACCTTTACCAATCCTAACAAAGTCTTGTGAGGGTCGGCAATCGCCTGAGTAAGCAACCTTGAATCCATTGGGGAAATTTAATGCAACAGCCAAAGCACCATGACAATGGCTCACTTGGCAAGCCTCAATAGATGAAAGACCAAATGCTTCCGTTTTTTCTGGTGTGAATTCT